CTGCACTCCAGTCTGGGTGACAGAGTGAGACTCCAACTCAAAAAAAAAAAAAAAGGTAAATAACGCTGCTGACCTTGCCAGCTTAACAAATTGAACACAGATGGACTAGTCCAGTAAGATTCCTTTGCCATTGGGCTGGTGTGAGAAGTTGTCTTTGCTGTGGAATTAGGAACTGACATGAGACGCAGATCTAGTGGCAGAGAGGAAGACGATGAGGAACTTCTGAGACGCCGGCAGCTTCAAGAAGAGCAACTAATGAAGGTTTGTCCTTAAATTAAACTACCTTGCTGCTGTCTTCACTTCCAGTTCCGTAAGATCTGTGTGTCTTCAATGACTCCTATGTGGAAGCCACCAAAATGAGTAAGAAGTAGTCCTGACCCTCAAGTCCAGTAGGCGAGAGTTGACAAGACAGGCATCTAGTAACTAGAATACGGCAGAATACGGACTGGGCTCTAGAGGAGATGACACGGAGGGACATGGAATGTTTGGGCTTCTGTGGGAAGGAGAGTGAGACTGTGCGGGGTGTGTGTGCAGTACACGTGTGGGGAGGATGCTGGAGGGACAGGCAAGGTGGTGTCTGCCCGGGTAGTGCGACACTTTTCTTCCCTCAAGCAGGCTCTGCTGAAGGAATCCCTTTGGGATTGAGCATTTCTCCAAGTCTTTTCAGGATACATAGGATCTTGTTTGTCTATCTGGGTCAGGAGAAAAGGGACGAAGGAGACCGCGAAGGCCCTCCTCATACCTTCCTGCCTGTAGCCAGGACCTGCTGCGTCCCAGAAGCAGAGCCGGCGATAAACTCTCCCACTGATCAGGGACTGATGAATCCCTTGAGATGATGTTTTCCAACATCACAATATTAGTTGTATGGGAGGAAAGTTTGCAAAGTAGTATAATCCCTGATTTACATGTGTGTAAAAAAATACTCGATGGATATAAATCAAAAGATAAACGGTGTTCTCTCTGAGTGGGAGTTATGGGCTGCTCTTCTTTCCTGCAGATTTTCCAAAATCTGTACAATGGGCATGCATTAATTTCCTTTCTCATTTTTAAGCAAATCAAGACAGTTTTTTTTGTTTTGTTTTTTTTTTGAGTTGGAGTTTCACTCGGTCGCCCAGACTGGAGTACAGTGGCCGCTCCCGGCCACTGCAGCCTTGACCTGCTGGGCTCCAGCGATCTTTCCGCCTCAGCCTTCCGTGTAGCCGGAATTACAGGCATGCGCTACCATGCCTGGCTGATTTTTTGATTTAATGTAGAGATGAGGTCTCGCTGCCCAGGCGGGTCTCGAACCCACGGGCTCAGGCAATCTGCTCACCTCAGCCTCCCAAAGGCGTGGGATTACAGGATGAGCCACCGAGCCCGGCGACAGTTTCTTTTTAAAGGATACCTTCCCCCACCTCCCCTTCCTGCATCAAAAATCCACACACACTCACGCATGCCCCCTGAGGTCACCTGCTGGCACGCTAGGAGGGCAAAGGAAGAACATTCTTCTGACATGGAGCCTGGCTGAGGGAAGTGGCACTTTGAAAGTGAAAGAGCTAAGAGGGTTCTGGGTCCAAAGCCTAACCGACCTCTCGAGAAACCTCTAAGCTCTGGGACCGCATGCATCTAGGCATTCCAGAGTCAGGCACCTCTGGCAGGGTCTCCTAAAAAGAACCTGCATCGCCATGAACATAATTGCAGGCTTTGCTTTCGTTTTCTTTTTCTCTCTTTTTTTCTGTGACTAGCTTAACTCAGGCCTGGGGCAGTTGATACTGAAAGAAGAGATGGAGAAGGAGAGCCGGGAGAGGTCATCTCTGTCAGCCGGTCGCTATGATTCTCCCATCAACTCAGGTGAGCAGTAAACCCTGGCCTTGGCTGTTGCAGGGCAGGCGGTGCCACTTGGGGTGGAGCCTACAAGTGTCCTCTAGGAACAGAATTGCAGAAAACCCAAGTTTGTCAACTTAGCTTATAAGCATGTCATGGTCCTTCCATAAATACGTCTTTCCTTTCTTCTGGAAATGATGGGGGCCTTGGAGGATCTCAAGAACCATGGAAGACCCATCTTCATGTGCTAGGTCTGTCTCTTAGAAAACTCATCTCAAAGGGAAGCAGCACAAGAGAATCCTATAAAGAACAGGATGCTTTTTTTGACTATAGAGAACATGAACAAAACATTTTCTAAGCATTGTGATTTTACATTAATCTACTCAGTGCAGAGCTAAGGACTAATAGTGTTTTCTTTTACACTTTTGAAGATTACTCTTGCACTGGGCTGAAGTATCAGCATATTTTTCTGTGCTTTTATTTGTCATAGGCCAATTCTCTCTTAGCCCACAAGATTTCTTCTCCCAAATTCTGAAGCAGAGCATAACTTTCACTCCTAAGAGTTTCTCTAAAAATTCGCTTTGTGTTTACTGTATTCAAGGACTTTTGCTAACAGTTATTTCTTTTAATCTTCACAACAGCCCATGAAGTAGATGTGCTTGTGGTTGTTAGCAACAACAGCATTATCATGTCCATTTCACAGATCAGAAGTCAGGTAGAGGGAGTTTAAGTAACATACCCAGTATCACATTGCTGATAACTAGCAAAATTAGGACTTAGAAGTCCAAGTACCCCAGAGCCCACACTCCTAACTGGAATCCCCGATGCATCTCATAGATGCCTCACTGGCACTGGATTTGGTGGTTTACAGATCTTTCAAGTTCCTTCTAATTCTGAGATTCTGTTCTGTAAGACTATATAGCACTGCACCTACATAGATGAAGAAAGGAAGACTTCCAAAAGATTAAGTACCGTGTCCAAAGATACAGAGGTGCAGAATGCAAGCCCGGGGCTGCTCCCAGCAAAACCCAGCAGCAGCCTGTGAGGTTTCCATGCCTTTGACCAATGGGATGCCCCATACCGAGCCTCCCAGGAATCCAGCTGCAGTTGGCCAGTAGATCTAATAATGTACACAGGTTAGTTTCTACCACTATTTCAAGTGGGACCTGGGCTAATAATGTATTAAGATATTCCTGGGTTCAAATCCTTGCACAACTGCTTACAAGCTAGGGGATCTTTGGTAAGATGCTCCTTTTAGCCCTTATTTCTCCTTCTGTAAAATGGAACTAATAACAACAGTGTTAGGGTTGTATTGAGGATTCTAAGAGATAGACATGCTGAGCACTTAACTACATGCCAGAGCTGTAGGAAGCCCCTCCTCAGTGACATCATAGTCCACCCATTCCCTGCATCACCCAAATATGGTGGCATTTTGTGAATATTGAGCCCAATATTTATTTGGATTCTTTTTTCTAGATACTCTGTTCTGCAAGGTAGAAGATACACTACCAATTTCATTCATAAAACTGCACTTCCGATTTCCTAACAATTGCTTTTTTACCTTTTCCTCACCCAGCTTCACATATCCCATCATCTAAAACCTCATCTCTCCCTGGCTATGGAAAAAATGGGCTTCACCGGGTAAGATCTCTCCAACTGATTGTTTCTGCATTCACTCTCTCCTTAGTCCTGGTTTAAGGACTGACATATTGTCTGAATACATCTGATTTTGATCCCAGTGTTGTAATATAGTGAAAAATTGTATCTCCCTGGTCACCTGGTAAACTACTTCAAGTTACAGACAAAATAAAGTATTTCTATTGAGAGGAGGAGAAATTGACTGCAGATAAAAGAATGGCCTGTGTATACTTATGGGAAGCCTAGATTAAGTAATTGTATGACAGATATTTTTACAATGAAACAAAAAGTAATAACTTGAACCATTATCTCTGCTGTAAAAAGATATAAGAAAGTTTGTTGTAACTGTCCTCCCCACAAAACATAGAACAAATGTAACTGTAACTACGTAGGGAAATGCATATTTATGTATCAGCAAGAGAGCCTTACTTGCCAAGAACCTGCTGGACAGTGGTGTTAGGGTACAGCAAAAGACAAAGATTTCATAGCAGCAAAAGAATAAATTGGAAAGTAAATGAGGGTTTAGGAGTTTAGCTTGGGAAGAATTCTTAGGATTTTGTGAATCAATCCTTCCTGTTCATCTGACTCCAAAACATCACTGTGGAGATTTTCTAATAATGTGTTCTTCCTCGTTTCAGCCTGTTTCTACCGACTTTGCTCAGTATAACAGCTATGGGGATGTCAGCGGGGGAATACGAGGTGAGGCTCACATGGCCAGGCTGACTGTGGCCACATCACCCCTCATGGCTGAGGTGCATGAGAGTCTGTGTCATCACGCATATATGGGCTGGGTTTATGCAGTGTTATATCCTTAAAGTAAAGCACACCTGTCTTCTGTGAGTGAATAGAGCAATTATTGTAATTTCAAAGGGAGGCCAGTCATGGTGGCACAGCTGGTAATCCCAGCACTTTGGGAGGCCGAGGCAAGAGGATTGCTTGCCAGGGGTTCAAAACCAGCCTCGACAACATGGCCAGACCTCATCTCTACAATAAGCCAAAAAATTAGCCTGGCATGGTGGTGTATGCCTCTAGTCCCAGCCACTCAGGAGGCTGAGGCAGAAGGCTCACCTGAGCCCCAAAGATCAAGGCTGCGGTGAGCGGTGATCATGCCACTGCATTCTAGTCCAGGCAATTGAGTGAGACCTCAACTCAAAAAAATAATAATGAATCCATAAAATAATTTCAAAGGATCTCTAATGAAATAAAACCATAGGAAGTGAGTTTGTGAGAATTCATACGTTGCTCCTACTGTGTATTTTGAGCACTCCATTAGATACCTAGTGGTACATGAGACGTGGCCCCTGCTCTCAAAGTATATATGGTAGATGGGGTATGGGGCTCTGTGTGATGAATGCTGTAGTCAGAAATGTGGAGAGAGGGAAGCGGCATCTCTAGGTTGTTGGGGAAAACTTCCAGGGGAAAAGGATACGCTAACTGATAGCTGAAACTGGAGCAGGCATTTCCTGGCTTCCGGGAGGCTGATGGGACATGCATGCAGAGAGAGAGCAGGAGAGAATGTGATTTCTTGGGGAAGTATTTTGGGAATTCCAGTAGAATGTAGCCTCTCTCTTAATGGTTCCATGTTTTTCCATGACCTTTCCCTTATGACATTTTCTTTTCATTTTCTTTTCAGACTACCAGGTATGGAACACTTTGTCTGTCTTAAGGTGGCCACACAAGCAGAACAGCCATTTCCAATCCATACTGCTCACTCCAGGGGAACAGCTTCTGTTGAAAAGATGCTTGTTGTGGTTGATCTGTCTAATCACCACTCCATAGCCATGAAGAACAGGCATGCCTGGTACCTGGACCAAGCTGTCCCTGCAAGCCTTGAGGACACAGCAGGAGCCAGGCTGGGTATAGGGGACTCTGTTGCTTTGGCCTTGAGAGTCTTTTCTGGGGTGGAAGTTGACCCACATCAAGGGTCTGCTCCTATAAAGTTGTTGTTATTATTTTTTTCTTTTAGTGATAACCCCTTAGTACTTTGGTCCTCCCTTTTCTTGTCTGTTCCCCAGTGAAAAGAAACTCATGCCTTGACCAACAGGAAAGAGAAGTTTGCTCTCATACCATTTTTTTTTTTTCACTAGAACCTAAATCTTATAAAACCATGATGGAGACCTAGAAAAAGGGGAAATGCAAAGAAAACTAAGATTAAAAATAAGAAAATAACAGTAAACTTGGCTTTTGTTTTCTTTCCCCAGAGACAGAGTCTCTCTTTGTCACCCAGGCTGGAGTGCAGTGATGTGATCACAGTTCACTGCAGTCTTGAACTCCTGGGCTGAAGCGATCCTCCCACCTCAGCCTCCATGTGCTACCATGCCCGGCTAATTTTATTTTTTTGTAGAGATGAGGTCTCGCTATGTTGTCCAGGCTAGTCTCAAACTCCTGGCCTTAAGCAGTCCTTCCACCTTGGCCTCCCCAAGTGCTGGAATTATAGGCATGAGCCACTGTAGCTGGTTAGCTTGGCCATTTAAAAAAGTGCCATATGCTACTTTTAAACATGGAGCCTAAATTTAGGAATTGGTCCATAGCTAGGGAGCCACGCTCTTTCCCCAACTTGATTGCAAAAGAGCAGTATTCCAGCTCTTACTCAGCAAGGATCTCATTTTGAGAAAAAACGTGGTAATTGCAAGGACACTAAAGTGGTGGTGAAGATTTGCGACCCAACAGGGAAGTCTGGGAGCCCACAAAGTGCTTGCTTCAGCTCCCCGTACTGTTCTGTGCCCCTCCTTGAACCAGCATGTCTGTTGCAGACCCTCCCAGATGGCCACATGCCAGCTATGAGAATGGACCGAGGAGTGTCTATGCCCAACATGTTGGAACCAAAGGCAAGTGTGGCTGTTCTTTTTCCTCTCACGTGGGGATGATGTAGCCCTAGAAAGATTCGATGCTCTACCTTTTCATCATTTCCAGGGTGTTGAGGCCCACCTTGTTCTAAGCTGGTGTGTTCAGGCAGACCATGTCATAAAACACTTTGCTCTTCTTCTATTCTTGCCACATTGGGTCAGCAGGTTGAACCCTTCCTGGGTGTGGTACTCTGAGGTACCAGCCTTTCTCTCCCTGTGGCCCAGGTCTTACCTTGGCCCTGCCACGTGAGGTACAGGTCATATCCAGTGCTGAGTGGAGCCACTACAGACTGCTCCAGATGAGGTGACCAACCTGTCCACCTTTTCTAGGACCTCCCCCGTTTCAGCACTGAAAATCACACATCCCAAGAACCTCAGTCCTGGGCGAACCGGGATGGCTGGCCACCCTACCTCCAGAACACTCCGAACCTCAGAGGTGTCCAAGGACTTGTGCTCCCCAGTAACCATAACTGGGACTTGTTTGAATATGTCAGTTACCAGAACACTGCTTGTAGGCCTTCCTGGCTCTGTGGATTTAGGAGCCAGGCACAGGACAAGACTGTTGAAGCCTGTACAAAGGCATCCTGCCGTATCCCAGCCTCATGGAAAAGATAGCATGTGCATCTGTCATTTCAATTTTCTGCTGATTTTTACCTTAAGCCCCAATACATAGTAAGTTAGTATTCTTATACTCAACAAAGCCTCCTCCCAAGGCTCAGTGTAACAGGAGACACCAGTGGAGAGTTGGGAATGTTTTAGAATCTGTCCCTGTCCCCTGGAAACTGGAGCTTCTGCTGATCTTGTGGGAGGAACACCCATCATCAGATCATCCTCTCATGATAATCTCTTGGAAGTACTAATACTGGCTTGGAGTACTGATTTCAGGTGGATTCTGCTTGTTAATAAAATGGACTATGGTGTTCTAAGAAGAGGTGTTTTCTTTCTATTTAGATTTTTCCATATGAAATGCTGATGGTGACCAACAGAGGGCGCAACAAAATCCTAAGAGACGTGGACAGAACCAGGCTGGAGGTAAAAACAAAACAATCCAGTCCCAGCTGTAGATCCCAAACCATGCCCCCAACTTTCCCCTAATAAATGTCTCATTTCTTCAGTGAAAGAAAAATAAAATAAAATGAATCACCTTCATATCATAGGTAGAACTAAGCAATCACTTTGAAGGAAAATCCAGATTTACACTTAGATCTGCGTAAAAATGCCTGGTCATATCCAGAATGACTCAGGAGACCCAGTATGATTTTAGCTGTTTTCTTTGGAAACTCAGTGTTGCCATATTTATGGCTGGTGATGGAGCATGGGAGTCTCCATCCCTCCTGAGATAGTCTCAGATCCTTATCTTCCCCCGAGCCTGGGTTGAGTTCATGGGAAGAGGGGGAGCGCTCTCAAGAAAGAGGTTTCTACAGACAGGTTTCTTTCTTGGCTGTTTCCACATTCCTTGTTGAAAGGTTATCCGGGTACACATACCCAAGACCTCCTTAGACATGGAAGACTAATCCTTGTAGTTTTCCATCTGAACGATTTTAATTAAGAAAAACTCTGGCTGCCAGTCTCAGAAAGAATCATTAATTTTTCCTGACAAAAGGCAGTACCTTGGCATAAGCAGTCAGGCTGGCACCGAGAACAAAGGCTCCAGTATCTTGAGGGAACTTTTCTAGGAGCAGTGACAGATGAGAAGTCTCCCCAGTAGACAGGCATCCACCTCACCTCCTGGTCCTTAGCTCCCCAGGGACCACTCTGGAAGTCTTTCTTCGGCTTTCTATTGCTATGGTCCATTTTCTGCAAACCTACTCAACAGCCCATGGACCTGAAATGGAGTTCTAGCCTTCAGCATAATAAATCACCTTCCTAGGCCCCATTGCTAGTTGGTATCATTATAAGAATACCTATTAATACTCTGCCAGCTCTTGTATCTGGTGGGAAGGGCTCCTCACCCGGCCTGACCAGCTCAGGAGCCCTGTTACACTGCAGTGCCTGGTACCACACATCAGGGGTGAACTCCTCTCCCATCGTTCTGCCCTGCTCCTCAAAATGAGGATTTACACACTGTATGGCCATCAGGACTGACCACTGCTCTTGCTTCTCTTTCCAGCGCCACTTAGCCCCGGAAGTGTTTTGGGAAATCTTTGGAATGTCCATACAGGAGTTTGACAAATTACCTCTTTGGAGACGCAACGACATGAAGAAAAAAGCTAAACTCTTCTAAGTCCTGCTCAGAAATGGCAATTAGAAAAAGGACTGACCATGGAGGTGACCCATAGGATGTTCCTTAAAGGCCCAAACTGGATTGGAGAGTTTGCAAACTACCGTCCCTCAGCAACACCAAAAAGGGAAAATCTGGTTAAAACACCCCTGAGTCAGATATTGGGCCAACCAACAGTAACACTTGCCAAGAGGCCTGGGATAGAAATGTCTATGCTCCCAAACTCAGCAGTAGTGCCCACACGTGCCCTTTTTACTTGCCGTATGCACACAACAGGAGCTGCTTTTATTTCTTCTTTTGTTTTCCTTTAACTGTTGTCCAACCGTAGTGCTGACTGTATGGATAAGAGCCAGCGAGTGTCCTTGGGATGCCATGAGGGGAGAATCAGCTGTAATAATTTCCAAGCATGAATCTATTTATGACGTAGCACTGTGGCTAAGGAGGGAGTCTGAGGAACGTATCCGTGTGGTGGCAGCAGGGCTGCACTCACCTCTCCCTGTGGCCTCATGTGCCTCTGCCTGGAGTCTGGCAGGAACAGAAGGCCATCAAGGAGCCAGCGGCTAAGTTAAATGGTGGTAAAGATAATGTTTAGCAAGCTCCCTGTTCTCTACTGCTCAGTTGGGACCTAGTTGGCAAATCACTTAGCTGTTATTAAAAAAAGGAAAAAAAAATTAAGGAGAAAGAGATGGAAAAGAAAGGAAAGGGAACGCTCCCTGAACTCTTTCTACTTTAGGTAATGTGCATGGTTTTGGCTCCTCTCCTAGGGCAGGAGCTGCCTTGGGTTCTACCTTTGCAAAGAAAGGAATGATAAAAATTGTCCCAGATAGGCCCATTTGCATGTTGTTGGGTGCTTTTGTCTGGAGGCCAAATCACTCTTGGCAAAAGAAAAAAGTTATGTGTCCTACCAGTGCAATGCCTTCCACTCATGTCCTCTGCTCTCTATGTGGCCTCCTAGGAATCAGGTCCTGCCCACGCTGACTTCGTTTTTTAAGAATTTTTCAAGAATAGACTGAGGAAAGACATGCTTCTGTCTTTTAAGTCACTGCAACTCCAAAGTAGATTCCCTCAAGCTGGTTTAATTTGGCCTTTTCAGCCATTCTTGCCTAACTCTGTGGCTTCATGGTGTGTGAGAGTGAGTGTGAGAGTGAGTGTGAGAGTGTGTGTGTGTGTGTGTGTGTGTGTGTGTGTGTGTGTGTGTGTGTATGTATAACTCACCCAAGGTAGCTCTGTGAGTCTGCATGTGCTTTTTAATTTCTGCTTGAACATTTGTCCCACTGTCCTGCAGTTTCTGAGGGACACTTACACAGTGTACATGACTCAAACATCAAGAGTGAGGCTAACCTGCACCCCCAGTGTTGCCACCTTGGTGAAAGGGCGTTGACACTGATATAGCTCATGGTGGGAGCAAACTGCAGACCACATAAGTAGTATCGGGCTGGGTGTGGAGGTGGCATCTTCAAACTGCAACACTGGATTCACATTTGAGCCTAGGGTTTCACCAACATGTGTATGTGAGACCCATCGTGAATCCTAATGTGAGTCGGGTAAGGCAGTCTCTTCAGCTCCATACACAGACAGTCAAATCACATTTATTCTCATGCTTTGAGACTCTGGTTAAGAATTTAAGCTCTATTTTAAAGCCAAAGAAGAGAGTATTTGAATTCATCTTCATAAGCCACTAAGAACAAAAGCTCAGAAATTCTTCCTGCGTACCAAGTATTAGGATTACCAGCTGTCTCTCCGTCACAGGGCAAAAGCAAGTATAATAGTTTCTGAATCCGTGTTGCAACCTCTGCCCTGTGACACATGTCTGTCCATTGGGTGCTGGAGTAAACATGGTAGTTGGTGTATATTATCCTCCTGTGCTCTTATCAAAGGATTCTAAATTTTCTTGCCCTTTCAGTGCTGTGAAGGAATGTTTGAGGACTAGTCTCACAAATACGTGCGTGTGTGTGTGTGTGTGTGTGTGTGTGTGTGTGTGTGTGTGTGTGTGTGTTGGGCTTACTAACACAACTAGCAAAGGGCCTTGACAGGGTGGGCTTGAGCAGATGAGTCTAGCTTATGCTTGGTCAGAAGCCAGACCACAGCCTACAGATTTACCCCTTCATGTTGCCTCTTACTTCATTCCATATCTTCACTGTCCCGACCTCTTCCTGCCCCCTCTTGCACTGGCAGCTCTGGCTCAACACCTAGGTGTAATGGTCTTTGCCTTGCACTGTGGAGTGTGGGGTGGGGACAGTGGTGCATTCTCAGCGTTTCCTACCCACATCAGTAACAAGGGTGGCCAAATGGCTCCCAGCACTTGGCTGGTGGAGAGATTTTTTCCATGATGAACATAATAAGGGACCTCCATGTTGTACACGGAGGAGTAAGTTATCACCCAGGCACAAGCAGATCAAATGCTGTAGTTAGGAAAATCAAAGTATTTTGCAACGTGGGCACAATCAAGTGGTTTTGCTAAAATTTCTATTTTTTGGTCTACATCAAGAGGACATAGCCTTGTCATACAATGGGGACATTAGACTGAAACAAGGGACAGCTACCCTCCTTATTTTACAGAGACCAGGAGTTAAGAGGTCTGAGATTGCCATGACAGTTAAAGAACTGAACCCCAAATCTATTCCCACTAATGAAACTCTGCTTTTCTTTTATCTTTTGAATTCAGTTCTGCATCCAGTTTGAGGGGGAAAGGGTTTTTTTTTCCATAATACGTGCTATATTAGTTGATTTCAATGCACCATGTAGAAATACATTGCCAGAAAACACCAGTAGCCTCCTGTCTACAAGCAGAATAGTGCTCTGCTCTGGGAAGGGTCTTTGGGAACCATAATACAGAAGAGGCTCACCTGCTCCGTTTTGCAGCAGAAGGCTTCAGCTGGGAGGATGGTTCAGGGGGCAACCTGGTTCTCCTAACTGCCAAATTTAAGGTATGGGCTACAGTGCCCTATCCGGTTTATTAAACGGGACTCAGCATGCTTGTCCTCAAAATGTCCAGGCCACAGGCAGGAGATGGGTGCTCTCTGCTTTAACCCCACCCTGTCTATACATGAAGATCCAGCTATTAACATACTCAAGTGAATGGAGCTGTTCACCCTGGAAAGGGAATTATATACACGGCGGACTTCTCTGAGGCATGTATAAAGGGCTACATTTTCAAGCATTTGACTTACTTGTGACTCTAAATGCATACTGACTGCATGAAGTCAAAGAGGCCTCTTTGACAGTATGAAAGTCAGTGCTTCCTTGACAGTTTCTTCAAGTAACTCCAGGCTATCATGTAGTCTTCCTGTGTGATTTCTTAGGAGACCTGAAGAGCGTTTGGAAACTTGTACCGCTAGCTATGCATCTACATTTTGGTTTGGGATTAGTTATGAAATGTTCTTAATATGACTTCAATAACTTAACATAAACTGCCTGTTCTCTGATACCTCAAAGAGAAAAACTAGAGTTAATGGGTTTAAAAAGTGGGAGTGGTTTTCTATCTGTCACATCCCCTAATCTCCACCATCCCTCCAATTCTGTCTTCTCCAAGCTGAGTTTTTCTTTCTAAGGTGGAGGTGGGAGTCGTTCTTGTTCACTCCATCTCAGTCTGGTGTGTTAGTCAACTCCAACTTGGAGAAGTCTAGCTGGTAACATTTCTAAAACTTTCACTGAATTTCTTTGCGCCTAGAAGCAAGCATCTTTTCCTAAGAGTTACTTCTTAGACGATTATTAAAAAATCATATATATGCTTTTGCAAGTTTGAAAATTCAAATTAACCACTTTTGACTAGATACATCTTTCTAAAAACTGTAAGGCAAACTTGTTAGCATTCTCTGGTGTGTTGAAGGGACAGGTGACTGCCCCAGGTTGTGTGCTCAGAGCCCTTTTTTTTCTGACAGGGAAGACAATGGAAAGAAAATGAACTGTCTCATCAACCCTTCTGTGTCCTCTGAAGCAAACTCAGTTTTTTTTTATAAATCATCTCTTTGCATTTCTGTACTTCCTATGCCAACCTTGAGTTTATTTGATTTGTAAAATTATTATGCCCTAAAACTTGTTCTTCCATGCTCTCTTTTAAAGAACTTTCTATCCAGAAAAAGTAGATTATTTGGAGCTTGAGATTTACAGTGATACCAGCTTATAGTGATGATGTACATTAAGGGAACGACCCAATTACATTGTGATAGAAAGAGAAACCTTCACTTTGGCATTTTTTAAATCACTTTTTTATTTTTCCAATTGCTGCCCAAAGAGCAGTGGGAGATGGTGACACATACGCTTTGTTATGGATAGTTATGTTTTTCTTTGGACAAGTTTAATTTATGACAAGCTTTTAAAAGGAGGGAGGTGGTCAGTTTGAGCTGAAGGATACTTTCTAAACAATGTATGCGTGCACAGCAAAACTAAACAATTCCAACATTTTCTGAAGCCTAGTATAATTGAGTGGCGGTGATGATCATTCAAAAAAATTCTTCCCCAAAGTGTGTCTCCCAAGAGTGGAGTTCTCATGAGTCACTTCCTGAGTCCGTTGGCCAAAGGTGGAAGGAGACAGGCCTGTAGACGTGGACATTCAGAAAGATGTGAGCTGCCTACTGACTATTTATGCCTATGTGTCTTTAGCTCATGGAAGTGCAAACCATTGTCCACAAATCAATGGTCTTTTGGGGGTTTCTGTACAGACTTGTCCAGTAATGCACGTGGTTTCCATAAGTGACTGATGTTCTTTATTGAAGCTCTTGCAGTTCTTTTTCGAGTTGGGCGTATGGATGTTCTTTCAAATGTTGGAGAAAGGTGAACAGTTCTTCCTGCCCTCCCTCCCCTTTCAGAGAGGTGAATGCCAACATTTAGAAGACCTCCTTCTGAAATGCTGTGTCGTTGTGTTCCCTGTGAGAGTGAACGGGTGTGCATCCATGCCCTGAGTGCCACCTGCTTGTATGCAGAGAAGATGTGACCCGACGGCTCCACGCTGACCTGTCCACACTCCTGTCACATGCAGCCCTGACCGTGCTCCTTTGCCACTGTCCTCTGCATCACTGTCATACCCATAACTCCATGAATAAAGTTGTGTGCTTTATTCGTAAACGCCTCCGTCCCTTGTTTCATGTCTTGTCCCCTTGCTCCCTTTGAAGGTCTATCTCATTTTTAAAGCACCAACTTGACTTCCAATAATCAAAACGAAAAATCAGAGTGAAACCAAAGTCGTAGGAAAGCATTTTTATCACATAGGTTGGAATGCAACACATAACTATATATTTCAGGACTGTATATCCAATCGTCCAGACCATAGTGATCAAGTTGACCAGAAAAAAACATTTTTAGTAGAGTGCATGCTTGATGTTGTTGTGACAGTGGTGACAGTCTCAACATTTAGACAAAGCTGGAGATTTGAGGAAGTTTGAGGACAAGCGCTTCTGAGGCACCACGCGTATAGGCTTCCCCTGCACTATTGAACTTTACATGAATAAAATCTAGATTTCAACCTACTTGCTATCTTCATGGCCAAGATTTTAGGCTGGCCAGAAAATACAGGGATCTCTACTCAAGATGGCCAACTCCAACCTTAGCCTGCCAACTTCTGTGTGTCTGCCAAGCCCGTCCAGGGCCCAGTGATGCTGGCACTCACGTGGTATTCTCAGGACAGTTGGCATGTTTAGTTTACTACTGTAGAAAACAGGTCGGGAGGGCCCAGCTTGAAGTCGGTTCTACTCACCTCCGTCTCCACCCACTCCCGCATCCTCACTGTGGTCCATAATCACCACGGCCAGCAGTCATCAGCCCTTATCATGAGCTCTCTGTGGCATTTGGCTGTGGTGGCCACCTTTTCAGTGGAAGGTGACCCCTGCCACATTTCAGTTGCTAGCCCTCACAGCAAAGCCGACACACCTTTGCTAGGAGTTGGAGGACCTTCCTGATGGGGCCGTGGCCTCACCCACAGCTTGGCTGCCCTCTCCCAATGCCCATCCTTTGAATCTCACTCTCCACCTCTTCCAAACCACTGCAAGTTCCTTGAACATACCATGTCCTCTCCCTCCCAGCAGCTTTGCCAAAGATATTTCTTCTGTATCATATCTAACCCTTCAAGGAGGTGGGGAGCAGAGAAAATCTGACCCCAGGGAAAGAGGGTAATGGCCAATATTGATTCTTGAAAACCAGTTGCCCATCAGCTCTTTGGATTCTCTCCAGTGAATTTCCCATGGGCTCCATTTGCCTGAAATCAAAGACAAGCCCAAGTTACACCCTTTCTATGAGTTTGTCTTAATGGGCCCAGCCCAGCCTGCCCCAGTAAATTCTTTGCATGCCTCTCTGGTTGAGCCTCAGTGTCAGTACTTAGCCAGTGTTGCCTTGTGGTTGTTAGCTGCATGTGTTCTGTTCTTCAGTTGAACCGTACTGAGCGTTGCCTATATTGAGTGCCAGGAACCCTAGCTTTGCATTGCCATATCCCTCATGACAGCCCTACAAGACAGAAAAGTAGCTCCACCATATAGGCAGGTGACCAAAGTCCGGAGGCTAATAAAGCATGCCCGTCACTCAGCCAGTGAGCAGCAGAAGTGGCATTGTCCAGGTCTGCCCCTCTTTAGATCCGGTGCTGTTTTCCTCTGCGCCCCACCGCCTTCATTGGCCAAGATTTTGTCTCCCACATCCCAAATCTCCCAGGGCATGCTGCACAGAGGGGGTTCTTGGTGTGAGCCTAGTCGGTTCCCTTCAGTTGGCCACAAGTCCCATCACTACCACCCAAGCATGTTTATGAACACCAGTGCAGCGGTTACTCATCAGTTACGTGTCTTGGGGGCAGTTATTATTCTCTCTAAGCCTCTAATTTGTTCATTTTCAGGATGGATGAAATAGCCATCAGATTATTGCTAAATTATAGTAACACTGAACACTTAGCATAGTACCCAGAACATAGTAACTGCTCAAGAAACTTTAGTGCTCTTTATTAAAATTAGTTAGCCTCTTAGACTTGAAGAATTCTATAATCTCTCTGAGCCTCAGTTTCCTGATAGGTAAATTAGGAGTGGTTACCTGCTCTGGCTATCGTACAGGATCGTGAGGTTAAATGAAATAAGGTAGTAGAGTGCTCAGGTAGAGGACAGCATTATATTCACAGATGGTATCTGATAATGAGGGGTTCTGGTACTCGGATAAGTTCTAGCACTATTGAAAATAATTTCTGAGAATTTTGGTTTTCATTCTGGGCTATTTTCCCTCCCTCTAGATTTTTGTTGTTTTGTTTTTACAGAACCTTTCTCATGGATTTGCCATCTAGCCTTTACATAAATACTCCAGGATTCAAACAAGCCCACACTTCTTTTATATACTTTGATAACAGCATGCTCTCTGCCCCATAATAGCATATGATAGGATCCCCTGAAGATGTGCTGATTAGTAGTAATAAGGACTGGCCAGGGGTGGTGGTTCATGCCTATAATTCCAGCACGTTGAGAGGCAAGAGGATTGCCTGAGCCCAGGGGTTTGAATCCAGCCTGGGTAACATGGCAGAACCTCATCTCTGCAATAAATCAAAAAATTAACTGGGCATAGTTTCAGGTACCTATGGTTCCAGCTCTTGGAAGGCTGAAGCAGCAGGATCACCTGAGCCCAGCAGCTCGAGGCTGCAGTGGCCGTGAGGATGTAACTACGCTCTGGCCTGGGCAACAGAATGAGACTCCAACTCAAAAAAAAAAGAAAAAGAAAAAGAAAAGAGTCAGAAGTATTTATTACCTAGCAACTGAGTGCCGGGGATAGCGTCAGACTGACTGCCTGGGTTTGAGTTGCGGGTCCACCACAACTAGTTGTCTAACTGATTACAATTTGCTTAACTTCTCTAAGCCTCAATTTCCACTTCCATGAAAGAGGAGTCATAACGACACTTACCTCAAAGGGTTATTTTGAGACTTCCTGTAGAACAAGAGCCAGCATGATACAAAATGAGCACTTAAACAGCTTTTATTAAGAAAGTAGCTGCCATGTAAAAGGGCTTTACTGTGTGCCAAGCATATTATGAGGTTTATTTCATATAATTCCTTATGTCACTTCTATTTGAGTTCAGAACAGACCCAGAGAGACTAAGTGGCATATACAAGATCTCCCTACTGAGTGGTGGGACTGGAATTCAAACCCCGGTCTCCCAGTCTCAAGCTCTGCCTCTGAGCAAGTGTCATGCACAGAAGGGCACAGGTGCTCCCCACAGCACTCTGGCCAGCCAGGGTGGTAGACTGTTCGAATTGGAAATACCCAAACCAAAGGTGCTGGGCTGGGTCTCAGCTCCTCCAGAGGGGTTTCCTGGTGAGGATTTTCCTAGCCTGCTAGAGGATGCTTAGAAACACCACCTGCAGTTTACAAGCTGAGACTCAGTCCCATGAAAGAGGGCATTGGTTCCAGAAAGATCTTTCCAACCGTACAACCCACTTCAAAACAACGATAGTTTTTAAAATTTGGGCTGCCAGTCTTTAGAGTGTTGAGGACGTTTCGTCAGCTCAAAAAGGCCACCAGTCCCTGCTCAGCCCTTCCTGCCCAGTCCTGGAAGGAGGCTCCTCTTCCCCACAGGGCCACATAGCCTTGCCTGGGTGTGTCTGCCAGCCTTGCCCTGCTGGATGCAGCCCATTGTGGGCCGGAAAGCACTAGGAAGGGTGGGGGCCTGGGGCTGGCAGCTTTTGAGAAAGTCCAAGGGAGTTGGAGGAATAGGGCCCAAAGCTTCAGGGAATCCCGACCCCAACCTCAAGGAACTGCCTTCCACACCTTAAATTCCCTTCTCCCTGATGTGAGGTCAGAACTCTGAACAAAAGTGTCCCTTCCACTCCTGCAGAACTCTGGGGTAGGCTGTGGTGAGTCGGGTCTATAGAAGAGGATGTCATATGACCACATTTATTTTGCCTTCCAATCTCCATTGGTTAAAACTGCTTTCCAGGGCCTGCCATTGTACTAAGCACAATGGCAGGCCCTGGAGAGGTTTTTCTGTATTTATTTGCGAGGTTCCCTGCTGTTCATTCTCAACTCGGCCCTTCCCATCAGATTAAAAAAAAAAGAGTTGGTTTAGGAAACCTCCACTCCAGAGCAGATGCCGTCTCTGCTTTGCCCCTAGCCTGTGTTAGTTGTGCGCCCTCCCAGAATCTCCCAAAGGACCTGGAGGCAGGGCTGGAAGTGGGCAGAGCCTCTACAGATTCCAGTCTTAGAGCTTGTGGGATTCAGACTCCCAGGTATATGAGTCCAGAAGATAAAATAGAATGAACTGATGGTGGCGGAGGCGGGGACATTTTTTGCAGGACTTCAGAGAGCTAGGTACTGGGCTAAGTACTCCATGTAGGTTATTTTGTTTAATGAGAGAAGGACAAACCCAGGACAGGGAGAGGCCCACTGGCAAGAGGGCAGGATTCTAGCCCCTTCCCATGAAGTCCAAATGCCACCTTCCTCCCAAGAAGGTCACAGCTGTCCCAGTCCCCACATTGTTAGCATGTGGCTTTTTAAGAATTTGTCCAAAGGACTGTTTGCAAAGACAAATACCAGTCTCTCTCAGCAAGGTGGAGCCCAGCCATGAATAACAACATTTTGTTCTAAACTGGACGGATGCTGGCACAGAAAAAATAGGTTCTTTCGTTCCTGTTATTGTCTTAAAACACTCTTCTTAATGAAAAGTTAGAAAATGTTGATGCCAGTTATATTCCCATCAGATAGGCAAGAATCAGCCAGCTTCTCCTGTTGAAATTTTAATTTTTTTTAAAAGAATTATTACTCCCCTCTCTCACTTAAAAACAAGGTGCTTCAGATGACTTAGGGTAAATTGCTAGTATTTGATAATGGTTGTTTTAATCAAATAGTTACCACTGAGTAGCACTTGCACATGGGTGACCTATGATCCTCACCAGACACCTGAGTGACTGTTCTTACCCTCCATCCAGAAATGAGAGGTTGCCTGGCTTGTCCAAGCTCAAATGGAGAGTTGGAGGAGGAGCCGAGATTGGACGCAAGTCTGACTGCAAAACTCAGGTTTCAGTCTGAAAAGAGGTTTTGATTTGGTAGGTCTGGGTGGGGAGTTGCGAAGCTGAGTCTTATAACAACATTCTAAAAATTCCGGGTGATTCTGA